GACCCAAATGAAAGAACAGATCAAAGCTCCTGGAAAAATACAACTAAGCGATGAAGAGATAGCCAACCTATCAGATGCACAGTTCAAAGCACTGGTGATCAGGATGCTACAGGAACTCACTGGGTACTTCAACAGCATAAAGACCCAGGCAGCAATAAAGGTTACATTATGGGAAATAAAGAAAAATCTACAGGGAACCAACAGTGATGGGAAGGAAACCAGGACTCAAATAAACGTTTTGGAGCAGAAAGAAGAAAGAAACATTCACCTAAAACAGAATGAAGAAACAAGAATTCAAAAAAACAAGAAGAGGTTTAGGAATCTCCAGGACATCTTTAAATGTTCCAGCATCTGAGTCATAGGGGTACCAGAAGAAGAATAGGAAGAGCAAGAAATTGAAAACTTATTAGAACAAATAATGAAGGAGAACTTCCCCAATCTGGCAAAGAAAATAGACTTCTAGGAAGTCCAGGAAGCTCAGAGAGTCCCAAAGAAGTTGGACGCAAGAAGGAACACACCAAGGCACATCATAATTACATTACCCAAGATTAAACATAAGGAGAGAATCTTAAAAGCAGCAAGAGAAAAGGAGAGAGTCACCTACAAAGGAGTTTCCATCAGATTATCAGCTGATTTCTCAAGAGAAACCTTACAGGCAAGAAGGGGCTGGAAAGAAGTATTCTAAGTCATGAAAGGCAAGGACCTACACCCAAGATTACTCTATCCAGCAAAGCTACCATTTAGAACGAAAGGGTAGATAAAGTGCTTCCCAGATAAGGTCAAGTTAAAGGAGTTCATTACCACCCAGCCCTTATTATATGAAATGTTAAAGGGACTTACCTAAGAAAAAGAAGATAAAAAATATGAACAGTAAGATAACAACAAACTCACAGCTATTAACAACTGAACCTAAACAAACAAACAAACAAAGCAAACAACTAGAACAGGAACAGAAATGGAGATCACATGGAGGGTTATCAGGGGGAGAATAGGAGGGGGAGAGAAGGCTAAGAGGTACAGAGAATAAGTAGCATAAATGGTAGGTAGAAAATAGACAGGGGGAGGTTAAGAATAGTATAGGAAATGTAGAAGCCAAAGAACTTATATGTACAACCCATGGACATGAACTAAAGGGGGGGAATGCGGATGGGAGGAGGTATGTAGGGTGGAGGGGAATAAAGGGGGGGGAATAGGACAACTGTAATAGCATAATCAATAAAATATATTTAAAAAATAAAAAGTAAAAATTTACATAATTAAGAAATATAAGTCAAAAAGATAATTAACAACTTCAAAAAAATATTGTCTATACATAGCACAAGGGCTAATAACACTAATACATAAAGAATTCTTAATAACTGAGGGACAAAGCCCAAAAAACCAATTAAAAATAAGAAAAAGATATGAACAGACCAAAAAATAACACAATGGCCCTGAAGCACAAGAAAAACACTTAAACTCACTTAGAGGGAAATGTAAATAAAACAATGACATACCATTTCTTGCCTATCAGACTGGCAAAAAATTTAAAATATGACATCATATTCTGTTGATTAGACTGTGGGAAAACAGTGCCACACACAGCTGGTGGGAATGCAATTTGGTAGTAGCCTCTGGAGGGCAGTGTGGCAATACCTAACAAAACTACATATATGCTTATTTTTCATCTTTGCAATCCCACTTTTAGGAATTGACCCTGAAGATACACCATTAAGAATATGAAAAGATACATGCACAAGATTATTCAATGTAGCATTATTTATAATTGCAAAATATTAGAAAAACCTAAATGTGCACAAATAAGAATGTGATTGAATAAACTATAGTACATCTATACACGATTAAGCATTATTCAGCTGTAAAAAAGAATGCAAAAAATCTCTATGAATTGATATGGAGTGATTTCCAGAACAATCTGTTAAATGAAAAAATATGAAGTCCAACAAAGTAGCATACTACTTTTATGTAAGAAAACAAAGGATATACATATGTATATCTAATTATCTGTGGAAAAGAAATAGAGGAAGAATAAACCAGAAACTAAAGAAACTGGTGACCCACAAGAGTGGGTGAAAATAGGTTAGAAACAAAGGAGAGTGGGAAGTGGGTGGCAGGGGTGGAAGGAGTTGACCCTTCTCTGCATATAACATTTTGTATAGCTATGACTTACAACCCCAAGAAATGTCACTCCAATGTGGGAAGGGAAAAATGGAATGTAAACAATAACAAATATACCTACATTACCAAAAGGATAACATAGTTATGTTTAAAGGGTTGGTAAGAAAAGAACTAACCTAAGAAAAAAAGAATTCTACCTAAATGTTATAATTTAGTAGTAAATATGTTTCTCACAGGGATATGGGTTATCAATTTTGAAATTACTTAATATAGTGTATGCTAGAAAAATAACAAGTAAATATATATAGAAAATGAGAGCCAGGTTTATCACTGATAAATAGCCAGACTCTCGGGAGGACCTTCCTCCCCTCATGATCCCTGCCTGTTAGTGTTCATGCCCTTGTATAATGCCCTCTCCTTGAATATGACAGGAGCTGTGATTTGCATCTAACAATATGGTATGGCAAAGGTGACGAGATGTCTCACTTCTGTAATTATAGTTCATTACACGAGACTCCACCTTGCTACAGGATTTGCTCTAGAGACTCTCTAGCTAGCTTGGGGTAAGTGGCCTTGTTGGGAAGCCCATGTGGCAAGGAGCTGAGGGTGGCCTCTGGGAGTTGGTGGTGGCCTCCAGCCCACAGCAAGAAGCTGGGGCCCTCTGTCCTGAAACTACAAGGAAAGGAATTCTGCTAACAATCTACATGACACTAGAAGCAAATTCTTCCCCCAACAGAGCCTCCAGGTGAGAGGCAGCATGGACAACACTGTGACTTCAGCTTTGTGAGACACCAAGCAGAGCACCCAACTAAGCCAGGTCCAGATTCCTGGCCCACAACAATGGAGCAATAATAAATATATGTTGTTTAAAGGTATTAGGTTTATGCTGCAATAGTATGCAGCATTTGATAACTGATACAACAGAATATAAGCAGTGAGAATACCTAGGACTCAGATTCTGGTTTTGAAACAAAATTATTCAATCGAAGAGACCAGAATCTTTGAAGCAGTGACTGATTTGGGGGCTAAAACAGAAAAAAATATCTGCTCCTGGAATATCTTATGTGTCAGAAAGTAAGGATGTGCTCAAAGTAATATGAGGTCTTATGTAAAGGACATAGAAGCCAACCTGAAGAAACTTGTAATGGCCAAAGTTGGAAGGATTTTAGCAATTAAATAAATGAGGGAAAGGGAACAGCTCTTCCCTACGGAATTCCAATTATTGTAGAAGAAAGAGGGAAAGAGAAATCACCACTAGGCAAACATCACAGGAGAATTATTGCAGACAAGTTCCACGAATAGATGTTAAAATTAGTAGTGAAAGTATGAGTAGAAACAGGATGTATAGACTCCAAGTATCTCTCTCAATGTTCATTAACTATAATGAAAAAGCAATAACTTTAGAGTTATTGCTTTTGTGAATAATACTCAGTGGTCATCACCTTCATCAAGTGATCAAGGTTAATATTACTAGTAATCAGACATATTGACATAATAAACCCCCAAATGTCATGTAATGAGGACATACCATTGTTGTGGAATTCTTGCCAAAAATGCATAACACATTGTAATCAAGAGAAAACAACAAACAAACCAAATTGAAGGAGATTCTACAAAATCACTGAGTAGTAGTCTTCAAAGGTATCAAAATCATGAAACAAAAGAAAGGACTGGGAAATTGTCACAGCCTGGAGAAGTCCAAGACGAAACAATAATGAAATGCATGTGGGATCCTGGGTGGGGTTCTCAAACAGAAAAGGATGTTAGTGGAAGTGTATGGTTTGATTAATGGTATTGTATCAATGCTAATTTTCTAAACTAATCATTGTATTGTAGGTAAAGATGGTGAAATTAGGGAAAGCTAGCTGAGGAACCTCTGTACTACTTTTTAGTAAATCTAAAATTAGTTCCAAATAAAGAGTTGAACTTGCAACTCAGTAATAAAAGGCAACCCAATCAAAAAAAGGGCAAAGGATCTGAATAAACAGTTCTCCAAAGAAGATACATAGAGGGCCAGTAAGTACATGAAAAGATACTTAATTAACATCATTAGTCATTAGAGAAACACAAATCAAACCTGTAAGATGCCAGTTCACACCCACTAGTATGGCTAGAACCATCAGAAAGTCAAATAGTAACAAGTGGGGTGGTGTGGATATGGAGAAATCAGAACACTTAAACCTTCTTCGTAGGAATGTAAAATGATGCAGTAGTTTAGGAAAACAATCTAGCAGTTCCTCACATCTTTCATTTTATAGAAGAAGCAAACACGAAATCAAATGAAAAAGGGAATTTAAGAATATTTTTCTCTATCCTGCTGAAAATACATCCCAAATGATTAGGTTGCCCTACAAAATAGGCTGCTTCATTAATTCTTTTAAAAAGTGAAATTTTGAATAAAACACATTAGAGATATATACAGAAGTATTTTAGGAATCAAATGACCCAATATTTGCTTTAAAAATACTATAAGAAAAAAAGAGATGAAGTAAATATGGCAAAATATTGATAACTGTTGAACCTGAGGGATGGGTAAATGGGGGAAGTATATTTTTTTCTTCATTGAGATATGTTTGGGCCAAAGGACATACAAACCACTTTGAAAAACACTTCTGGGGAACAAGGTAGAAAATATATAAATGAGAATAACAGATATGTAAATGGTGGTTTCCAAATCATAGGCAACATCTTTCACAAAAAACTGTTCAAATAAAAGAAGACATTCTTCAAATCTACTCAGATTACATTGTGGTTGTTACATGTGAATAACACATGTTTTATTGATATTCAGAAATGCTCAAATACTAGTTCAGGAAGGACTTTTTAAGTATAGATTTTATAATATCACACTAAAATCACTTTACTATGACTGCAATACTTACTCCCTGAGACTCGGCTCCTTGAAATGGAGAGGAGTGCACCTTCTTCTTCGGCTTGGCAGCTCTAAAGACAGATCTTCTGAATTATTTTCAAATGTAACAGTGTTGTTTGAAACAAAATTGGTATTTGTCAAGTCCTGTAGTGTTCTACCACCTGAAAAGAATATTATTTTCATAAATATTTATAAACATAGAGATATGGAAATAGATAGGGGACATTTAGTGGTATGCAAGTCATTGGCAGCAAATTTTTTAACAATAATCAAGTCAGAATTTTAATTACAATAGCAGCACTACAATTATTTGTATATCAGTTTCATTTTTATCCAGCCATAATGAGAAAAAGACACTTAAAATTTGAAACAAACTATCAACGTAGCCCACATTTTAATTCTGAAGTTCTATATTGGCTGAGAAAAATTCCTCATGGTTTAACTCTATTCACAGAACCCCACAGACTACTGCATTCACTCAACATGTGTCATCACTCGGCCACTCTGTGAAAGGTAGGTACCATGAAGAACAGAGATGAAAGACGGATCATGTCCTCCAACATGTCCTGTCACTCTGAAGCTTTGTCCTTCTTTTGCTTCAGAATTCCCTTTGCCCGGAATAGCCTTATCCCTTAGAATCCTAGTGTCTTCTAACTTGAAAGGATATCTGCACCCTCATGTTCATAACAGCATTATTTACAATAGCCAGGGCGTGGAAACAGCCCAAGTGTCCATGGGTGGATGAATGGATCAAGTCATGGTATATAAATACAATGAAGTATTATTTGGCCAGACAAAAACGGACGAAATCCTACCATTTGTGATAATAGAGATGGACTTTAAAGATCCTGTGCTAAGTGAAATAAGTCAAACAGAGTAAAAGAAATATTGTATGATCTCACTTATATGTGGAATCTTAAAACAAAACAAACAAACAAAAAACCCAATCAAACTCACAGAACAAGTCATAAGTACGACTTATGGCTACCTGAGGCAGGGGGCTTAAGAGGAAGGGAAATTGGTCAAAAGGTACAAACATCTAGTTATAAGATAAATAAATAAGTACTAGGGGTGTAATGTACAACATGATGACTCTAGTTAACACTGCTGTGTGATATATAGGAAAATTGTTAATGAGTAAACACCAAGAGTTCTTATCACAGAGAAAAGACTTTTTTTTCTTCTGTCTTCTGTTGTACCTGAGATGATGCATGCTCGCTGAACCTATTGCGGTCATCATTTCACAGCATGTGTACATCAAACCACCATGCTGTACACTCTGAACTTACACAGGGATACATATCAGTGATTTTTTAATAAAACTGGAGAAAAATCCCTGTGTTCTACACACATTTAGTGAATTGTTAGGCTCCCAGTGAAAAATTTCTAATAATAAAGGAATATCCATAGAATCCAGTGTTAAGGAAAAAATGTGAGATAAGTAATGTTTTATAGAGTATGATTTAAAGTCTGCACACATATACCAAAATGTTGACTGCAGTTGTTCTGGGTGATTGTTTTTCCTGCTATTATCTGATTCTCTACTTTCAATTTTCTGCCTTGAGTGTTATGTTAATAACTTGAGAGAAAATAAGAAGAAAACAGTAAGGTAAAAATCCTACCTATCCTTTAGGGCCTAAGATGCTACCTATTTTATAATACCTTTGCAGGTTCCTCTAGTCACAATTACTTCCCATCACATCCCTTGGCATAACACATGTGCTTGTATTAAAGCCTTTCTCACACTTACCACTGTATTTGTGACTTTTACATACACGTACCCTGAGAAAAGGGAGTTGATATTATTTATTTTTAATCCTCTAAAACACCCAGAATAAATACCTTTAATCACATTAAATATATACTGTTGTAAAAGTCCCACCCTAAGGAATCTTGCAATTGTCTTCAATAAAATCAATCCAGCACAATTCCTTATTATATATACTTAAAACACTCAACTTCCTTCAAACATATGAAAAAGGAAATTATCTGTCTAATGACATTATCAGATAGCTCTGTGGGAAAGGCCAATCTGTTTTTTAGGTTATTAAATGTCCAAGACAGTCTCACTGTTATCTTTCCAAAGTATTAAGTTTTATTTAAATTCCTTCATATTTCCTATAGATCAAGCTACACAGTTAAGCAGTTTTTAAATTCCATAAAAATATCAGTTATAACAAGAAATACTTCACTAGTTAACTGGAAAAAAAAAAGAAAAAGAAAACACTTTTAAAGCTTGGCTACTTCAAGTATTGGCCTACCTGATGTTTGTGTTCTCTGGGTGACTTTAACTTTCACGCCTGTTGTCTTCTGCATATCATCACTTACTTGGAAGACTGGTGAGCCATCCCGGGTGAAATTTTCTTTCATTATCAGATTTTTACTAGAAGAAATACGCAAAGGTCTTGAACCCTCATGAACATTGTTAAGGAAAGAATCTTGTATGTTGGGTGAATATATCTGAGATAAAGAATTAAACACCTTTGAATTAAAGTCTGGCTTAATTTTCTGATTTTCCAAGTTTTTCCCCTCATCAGCTTGGTCAGTTTCAGCTGATACTCTCTGACTGGGGTCAGGTATTATCTGCATTACTTCATGGCTATCTGGAGAAGGAGCTATGCACGTCTTCCTTTTCTTTGACTGGGATGTCTTTTTACTTATTCTTTTCACTTGGCACTCTCCTTTTATCACTTCTGCACAGGGATCATCTCTCTTTTTAGTCAGAGTTGTATTCTTAGGTGCTTCCATTTGGTTTCCAGAATCAGAATCTGTTTCATTCGTAACATATTTTAAACCTGATTCTAAGGAGAGAGATGTCTGTAAAGAATCTAACTGAAAAATAGGTTTGTTTTTACCTTGTGCCAAAATGTCCTTTGTCTTGCCTGATTTTTTCCCATGCTTTTTAACTTTATAAGGATTTGAAATTTGCTCACAATTTTCTTTTTCATTACTATTGATTTCAATACAGTATCCACTGATAATACCTTGGCATCCAAGTCTCTGTTTAGATTCATTTATTTTAAAATTGTAATCTCTTGTGTCATTTTGTAGGCCATGCATGTCTTCGTCATTATCCCTATATATTTGGTTCATTTCCGAAATTATTTGTGTCTTCCGATTCACTTTCTGCCTAAGCTTCTTCTTTGTTTTTGAATCATTTTGCTGAGCAGGTTGCATCTCAGTTACATGGTTTTGCAAATTCAACATATTCAGGGTCTCGTAATCATATAAATTTCCATTATCTTTAGTAGAAAGATAAGCTGTTTGAAATTCATTTGTGACTTCTGAGTTTTCAGAAATACTCTCTTTATCCTTTTGGGTGAGGGAAAAGTTGTTACCTTTTACTGAGTCATGCACACCTTTGTTATTAAACTCATTTATTTGGTTCATTTCTAAAATTATTTCTGTTTTCCGACTTCCTTTATCCCTGAGCCTCTTATTTATTTTTGATTCATTTTGCTTTGCAGGTGGCATATCAGTAACTTGCTTTTTCTCCCCCAAAATGTTTTCAGTATCATAACTACAGAGGTTCCTATTTCCTCTGGTGGAAGGATCAGCTACCTGAAGCTCATTTGAGTCCTCTAGGTTTTCAGGAATGAGCTCTTTATCTTTTTGGATTAGAGAAAATAAGTTACCCCTTTCTGGGTCATGACTATATTTGTCATTATTTTCATGTACTTGGTTGATTTCTGAAATTATTTCTGTCCTCCGACGTACCTTTTGCCTAAGCTTCTTATCTATTTTTGTTTCATTTTGACAAGCAGGTTGCATATCATGGACATACTTTTTCACCCTCAAAATATTTTGAGTCTCATAATCATATAGGCTTCCACTATTTTTGGTAGAAAGGGAAGGTATTGGAAGCTCACTTGGGTTTTCTAGGTTTCCAGAGATGATTTCTTTACCCTCTTGGGTTTGGATGGAAAAGTTACCTTTTGGTGGGCCTTGCTCATCTTTATCATTATCCCTGTATATTTGGTCCATTTCAGAAATTATTTGTGTCTTCCGATTTACTTTCTGCCTAAGCTTCTTATTTATTTTTGATTCATTTTGTTGAGCAGGTTGTGTATCAGTGACATCCTTTTTCAAATCCAACATATTTTGGGTCTCAAAATCACATAAATTTCCATTATGTTTGGTGGAGAGATCAGCTGTTTGAAATTTACCTGTGACTTCCAGGTTTTCAGAAATGGTTTCTTTATCCTTTTGATTTAGGAATAAGTGACCTTCTTCTAATTTCTGAATCACAAATGTCTGTCTAGAAGCTTTATTTTTATTACAAGCTAGAGAACTTTGACCCGTATTAAATTTACTTTCCCACTGAAATTTATCTGAATTTTGGGAGAAAGAGCATGTTTCCTCTTGCTCATTTGTTGCATGTACTCTTTTCTTCTTACTATCCTCTGTGCTTTGTATGTTATCTTGATCGAAGTCACTGTGAGGGTTTATTGTCTTCAGTATATTCAACTGAGTCAGCTGTTCAGTATTGAAGATAAAATTTGGATTTTCTGAATCCCTGTTGCCATTCAAGCCAACAGATCTTTTTTCTGGTTTATTTTCAGTCTTTTCCTCTACATTCATTTCTGAATTATTTTTAATCTGTCTCTTTGATCTTATTCTCTTTTTGTCAGAGCTTGAATCTTTCACTTTTCTAAAAGTTTTGATTCCACAGTCATTCGATGTTTTATTACATTTATTTTTAGTGCCTTTTGAAACCGTAACAATTTGACTTACTTCACTAGCAGTTAAATCCATATCAGAATCATACACAGTTTTCTGCCATTGAAAGTCATCATTACCCTGAACTTGATTCATGCACTGTGCAGTAGGCTCACTTGCAGACTCAGATGAGCCAGGAAGGCACTGTGTGTTTCCTTGCATTTTAATATTCATTTCATTAGTACGATCATTTATCTCATTATTCCAATTTAATTCTGCGTTTGAAATCCCTTGTTGATCTAAACGAGTCACACAAGGATTGTCTGAAGAAGGATTATTTGATTCCAGAAATGATGCATGCCTTTTCCTTTTAGTTATGTTACTAAGAGACTGTTTCTCCTCTCTGTGGCTGATAGCCTGGGAATTTTTCATCTCACCCATTAGAGAACTCTTGGAACCCTGGTCTGAGTGAGAATAGCTTTCTGTAAAATAAAGGGAAAGAAAATTCAGAAATAAGTAATGACATGATTATTATTTTAAACAAATTAGATTAGAAATCAAGCTATTTCACAGAGAGGATTTCTGAGAATGTATCCTATCCAGACACTTATAAAGAATTTATGCTGATAGCAAATAAAATAGAAATCATGAGAACAGTCACAAGTCACATTCCATGTTTGTATCTAAGTAAAATATACACTGAGGACTCACTCTGCTTTGGCCCCAACAATAAAGTGGAGTGTAGCCAACAGCAGAGCCATTAAAAAAATATTTCTAAAGTGGGAGAGGGCCAGCAAATGACCCCAAATTAGAGTGATAATTCTGATAAGAACTACTATCAGAAAGCTATCAGCAGATAGCTAAGTTTCTATAAGTTATACAGAATTTTATAAATTAAATTTTTAGAATGGAAAAATAACTCTAAGCTCTAAATTTAATATAGTTATAATTCCATATCCCAGTTGGAAAATCTGTGACAAATACACAAGTCAGGCTACACCGCACAATTATTATTTTGAAATACCATGTAAATAAAATGTGTCATCATTTTCTCCCGTTCAACCATTATGCACACTCAAGTTTTTGCTTTACCACTAATTGGTTATGATCTTGAAAAACTCACTACATCTATCTAGGCCCACAATTTTCATAACTATGAACGCGAGAAAATGAAACTAATATGGCATCTTTTGATTCATAAGCTAATATACCAAGTAAAGCTCTTTAGGCTGATTCATTTCTAAATATTGCCTTCAGAGTAACAGTACCAGGCCACTGTGGATCTGACATTTCTCAGCATATTTACTTTTAAATTAAAATTTTCACCAGCAGTATAAAAATAGTAGAAGCCAGCAAATATGAAACATAAAAGATCTAACTTATTAACTGTTTATATACCATGGTCATCAAGAAGAAAATCTGATGAATGTAAACTATTTTAAATATAACACTCAAAATGAAATTTTTAAAAAAATCTCACCTTTGGGAAGTATATCAACATTGGAAGAAATATGTTCTGAATCATCTAAAGCACACACATTTTGATTATTTTCTGTAAGACATAATAATTCCAAATTATACTGAGTTGATAAAGCCTGCCTTGTTGATACTGAAGAAGGAACATCAGATGACACATTTGATATAATGTTGTTGTCACATTGCATTTTCTCTTTATCTTCATCATCATCATCATCATCATTTGAAGTTAATGGAACCCTAAAGGGAAGTGGGAATGAAAAGTTTGTATTTTACAAAAATTATTTAGAAAATTACATGGATAGTTCTTTGTTGATCTCAGTTATTTAAGATCCAACCACAAATCCCCTCTGTTACCTTTTTGTGTTCAATGAGGACAATTATAAGTGGTATGAAGAAGGCAGTACCTAACAGTACAGAACTTAGAGTAAAACAGAATGCTTATCTTCATAGCCCCAGAAGACCCAAAAGGAGATAACTGTTATAAACACTGGTTGGGCTATAAGGATAATAATAATGAAACATTTAAATAAAGTTCAAACATACTTTTAAATATTCATATATAATATTTGTAGTTTTCCTATAATTAATTCTATGGAATACTCAAAACTCTTACTCTGGTTTCTAACAAGTATAATCGTCTGTAAAGTTATGTGTGAAATGAAGTTTGCTGTTTCCAAAGACATCCATGTAAACGAAAGCCATGTTCCTAGAGTAGTTCAATCTGTGGGAGAGGGGATGGGAGGGAGCTGGAAAGGACAGAAACCCACATAAATAACTGGAGATGTGACAAACTACCTTCTTGAATTCAAAGAATGAAGAGTAACATCAAAGAAAGTAAGAGGGGGTGAGCAAATGAACCCAAATAACAGTGATATTTTCTAGTTCTGGTCTATTATAGTAGTGCTGCTATATATATGCCTTTTGAAATATATGTACACAGTTCTGTTGTAGAATTACTGGGTTTGCATACAGTATTTGGGTACAGAAACTTAGGGTATTCTTATTGTGTTCCCATTATTTAAATGCTTGCTCTTGGGTTTTGTAGATTTTCCTTTTCAGATTAACCCTTGTACTCCTAGTTTGCTGAAAGTTTTTTCAAAAATGGCTGTTGAAATTTATCAAATGCCTTTTCTGTATTATTGAAAAGATACTACTTTTATCTTTTTTCTATTAATATGGTATTTTACTCCGAATCAAAATTCCATAACAGAATGTATAGATGTATATGTGCATTATGTAAAGTGACAAGTTAATTCTAAAATTCACATGGAAATGCAAAGAGCCAGGAATAGTCAAGAAAATATTCATAAACAAAAACATAAGATGGGGATTCACACTATCAAACACCAAGACTTAGAGCAGTGAGTTCAGAAACACGCAAACACATGCAGTCACCGGACTTAGGATCCAGATGACACTGCGATGAGGTGGGGAAAGGATGATCTTTTCTAAACAAATGGTGTAAGGCCATAGGATTTACACATTAAAAAATATATTATGACCCTTCCCTCACACTCTATAAAGATTTTTGCACTTTTCTAACAGGTATGTAATACTGAAAACAAAAATACACTTAAAAATAAAATGAAATTTTATAGAGGGCAAGCTGACATTTGATTTGTGTGTTTTTATCAAATGGTGTGTGCATAATGACAGCCAAATATTCTTGAAAAAGAATTAAAGGAACTACAAGACAACAAAATGTATTATTTTCAGCAAGTAAAAGGTATTGGTACAGTGTGGTGCTAATACAGTGTAATAGGCAAAACAATGAAGCAAACTAGAAAGAATAGAAAGTAATGTAGTATGTATAAAAATTTTTTACTATGGTACAAATAGCATTCAATATATATAAATACATTTATTTGTGCATTTAAATAAAAGCAACAAACTTTTAAGTTACATAACCAAAAGAACACTAAGAGAGAAGAGGATGTTGGTCAGTGCTATTAATTCGCTGAGTCATTTGACCACTCTAGACCTCAGAGACTGTCTTTAATGCAACAAGTTTGAAATAAGGTGTTTACTACATCTCATACTCAAGTTAATCAAAGTCAAGAGGAGAACAACAATGAAATTAATTTTAAAGCTTGGTCAGTATGCAAGTTAATAAACATTGAAAAAATTATCAGATTTAGCCAGCAGAAAACATGAGGCCAGTGGTGACCTGAGGGAAAAGAAAGAAAAGAAATAAAAAGTGGTAGGATCCACAGATGAACTTAGTGATTGAATGAGGCTAAGTTTCCTTGCAGCCCTGGAGATACAATCTGAGCAAGATACTACAAACCATCTCATTCCTACCTTAGAAGACAACTCCAAGTTAATGAAACCCAAACATTATATAACACACACAAATAATTATTGTGTTATATACAAATTTAAGTACTCTGAACAAATGTAATTTAAACTCACGTAACTAAAGGTCCATCTGTACCTCCTCCTTCTCTACAGTGTATGGAAAAGCTGAATTTTATTTTAAAATGTAAAACTAAACACTATTATATTATGTCTTCAATTTCCTTTATTGGTACAATGTTAACAAGTATTTCATTATTTATTTTTAAATGTTTTTCTGTTTTTCAAGGAAGCAAACCAAATAAAAACTTTCAGAGTACAACTTAGGTAGAAGTGTGCAAGTCAATATTTAACCAAATTTTGAAGCAATTACCTTGCAAATGGAAGACGCATCGATTTGCACTGTTTACTAACACATTTATTCTTGCTGGCTGGCAGTACAAAGGGACTCTGATGGAACTATTTTTGAAAAAAAAAAATGAAAAGGAATAAAACTTCAAATCTCATTAAATCATGTTTGTTAGTAAAGTACCAAATTATACAAGAATACCAATAGTGATAGAACAATTCTTACGTTAGTCTTTAATAACTAGGTGAGAATAGTGTGATGAGGTTAAACACAGTTCATCCTTAACCATGCCATTCAAAGATAATTACCACTAATATTTAGGTATACAACCTCCCAAACTTTCTCCTATGTGTAAGAATAAATACACATATGTATAACTACACATATATGACATCTTTACACATACAGTGTTTTTGATTTGTGGCTGGGCGTAGGGCCAACTTAACTGATACATGGATTTTGACAGTGTGGGTTTGCACCCCTAAACCCTGCACTCCATACTGTTCCGAGGTCACATGTATATGAAGTACACTCATGTCTACATAAGTACTATGTCATTATTGGATTTTATAATATACATTTTTAAATGGTCTTTCAAAATTCAAAGTCTGGGTGATTTAAATGTAGCTTTTAAATTTTTACTTATTTATATTTGCTAAATTTTCACATGTTTTCTGGACATGTTTTAATTATCTAGTAAGGACCACAAAATTAGGCAATACATAACCTTGTTTTCTTGTTGCAGTGGTAAGCTGCAATAGAAATGGGTATGACCAAATCAACAAGCGAATTTTTAAATTCACATGGAAATGCAAATTTCCATGTAGCTAAAACAACTATGAAATAGAAGAAAAAGTTGAAGGGTTGTGGTAATTGAGTCAATATAGTATTAGCATAAAAACATACAAATATATTTAAATACAAAAATTTAAAAATAAAACAAATAGATCAACGAAATGGAACAGTTTAGAAACAGATCCACACATATTTGGTCAATTACTTTTTGATACAGGTACAAAAGCCAAATGGAGAGCCTTGGCATCCACACTTACCAGGCCATATATAAGGTAACCTTTCTCCAAACCAGGGGTACTGTCAGCAAAGGCCAAGGGAAGGCTCAGGTATCCGGTGGCAATGAGCACAGACCTCTCCCCCACTGCCCCACCTAGCAGTATCAATGAAGAACACCTGGGGACTCTGAACTTCCATTCTTGTTTCTTAATAACAGGGAGCCCCAGTCCTTCTCCTCTAGCATGGTGACAGAAGAGATCTAGTAGAGAGCCAGGATTGTCACTACTCTGCAACGGTAATAACCTCCACCTTCAAATTTCCCCCAGTCTTGGGGCCAGCAGAGGCCATGAAAGTCCTGTGGCACTGGCTGGTACCCGCCTGACTTCCTAGCCCCACCTATCAGTTAGAAGACACCCTCTTTCTGCCTGGGTGTCAATACAGACTGAGTGAGGAAACTAAATTTTGAACCCCACTTGGCAGTAGGTGGGACTTCCCTTTACCACAGGCATGGCATAGCATCAAAGGAAACCTGCTGAAACAGAGGTTTAAATAGGATCTGGAGTCTCATAACATCATACCTAAAATGTTCAAGATATAATAAAAATAACTCATCATACCAAATTAGGAAAAAATCTAAATTTGAATGTAAAAAGGCAATCAACAAACACCAGCACCAAGGCAGCACAGATCTTGGGATTACATAACAAGGATTTTAAAGCAGTATCATAAAAATGCTTCAATAGGCAATTACTACTAACATGCTCACAATAACAACAAAAGGGCATCTTGGCAAAGAAACAAAGTCTCAGCAAATAAATTGGAAATGTAAAGAACAGAATGGAAATTTAAAACTATAATTAAGAAATTAAATTAACTGAATTAATTAAATATAATTTTAAAAAGTAAAATCTCAACAGCAAAATAGAGAGAGCATGGACCGGAGTGGGGGGGCGGTGCAGGTTTGTGAACTTGAAGATAGAACAATAAAAAGTACCCAATCTGAGCAAGAGAGAAGAGATGGAAAAAATTAACAGAGGATCAGAGATTTGTGGGACTATAACAAAACTATAACATTCATGTTAAAGAGGGCAGGGCCAAAGTGTTTTGGAGAAACAGGGCTGAAAATGCCCCAAACTTAGCAAAAGAAATCAATCTGCATATTCAGGGGGAGTGAACTCCCAAAAATAAGCTCAAATAAATGTCATGTCATGTCCAAGACACAGCACAGTCAACCTTCTCCACACTAAAGACACAGAGAAAACTCTGAGGAGCGGTGAAAGAGGAATGACACCTTACCTAGAGGTAAGAAAAAATGAAAAACAAATAAGTATTTGACTCAAATGAGAAAGGTAACAATAAGATAAACCACAGAAAAGCAGAAGGACTTAACTATTGAAGATAAAAGCAAAAATTACTAAGTTTGAAACATCAAAATAGTAGAATTCAAAATTAAATCCAATGATTGATTTAAAAAAATACAGGGAAAAGCCCAAATACACAAAATTAGTCAATTGGGGAAATTATACATCACAGAAGAAATTAAAACAGACTACTCGGTCAACTCTATGCAAATCAATTTGAAAACATGGATGAAGAGAAAATTTTCTAAGGAAATATAATTGAATAAAAATTTTTCAGAGCAGAGAAAAGATACAAATTTTTAAAATGAGTTTAGTATATATATCACTTTTTAAAAAGATTTTATTTATTTATTTTTAGAGAGGGGAAGGGAGGGAGAAAGAGAGAGAACATCAATGTGTGGTTGCCTCTCACGTGGCCCCTACTGAGGACGTGGCCTGCAACCCAGGCATGTGCCCTGACTGGGAATGGAACCTGCGATGCTTTGGTTTGCAGCCCTGTATATCACTTTTATGAATGCCTAAAGACTATACAAGAAGAAAACTTCAAAGAAACCTCACTGCCCTGGCTGGTATGGTTCAGTGGATTGAGTGCTAGCCTGCAAACCAAAAGGTCACAGGTTCGATTCCTAGTCAGGGCACATGCCTGGGTTGCAGGTCAGGTCCCTGGTTGGGGCATGAAAGAGGCAACCACACACTGATGTTTCTCTCCTTCTATTTTTCCTTCCTTTCCCCTCTCTAAAAAATAAATAAATAGATAGATAGATAGATAAATAAATAATAAAATCTTTATAAAATCCAACAAGTCCAAGAAAGTAGACACCAAAGTTGTATGCTGTCCCTTTATCCTTCAGCTTCTGCATCTACTTACCCTCTGTTATTTACTTTTCCTGAATCGGATGCTGATCTCAGCCCTTTTTATAGTTCTCCAAAGAGAAGCATACAAAAAGCTTCTGAGAACAACGTTGACTTTACTGAAGGTTTTTTAGAGACAGTGGAGGGAAGGACCTTTAAGTCACATAACTCAAAGCAAATAGTTGAGCAATTTTTTTGGCTATCTGTTCTTCAAAGTTCCTTGAGATGTGTGTGATATGACCCTCTCCCCTTCCATATCTTGTCAATTAACTTCCTTCTCCTATTCTCTAAGTTAATACCTGTGGGCTCTACATTCCTCACTGCTATATCTAACTCTAGTCTTAGTAATTTATTCAGGGCAATTCAATTCAGCCCTGCAAGCTGATTAGCAAAAACAAAGTCTGCCTTTTCCCTGACTCCCTCTAGCCACCCACTCAGTGAAACATCTCTCTTTTCCTGAGGAGGTACTAAGTGGGTAAGGCACAACACTTCTGCTCACTGGCTGTCCTAGGTGTCAAATTTATGAGGCTAGTAATTACCCCTCCTGTAAACATTATTCCACAAGGACATTTCCACAAATCCTTTCTTCATCCAAATGTGGATTACATTAGACAATAAAATACCTATTCTTGGGCTAGTTTTTATAAAAAATTCTGACAAATGAGCTAAACATTGACTATATAGGTTGAAAGAGTTCATATCTTCTTACAGCAAAGACTATGCGTTTAAGAGATTTATAAATGGCTTTTATAAGTTTTTAAAATAGTGATTTGCAGAAAATTTAGAAAATACAGAAAAATACACACGCAATAAAAAGTAATGACATTTTTGTAATAGCTGACATTTATTGTACTCATTCTATTGCCATAACACATGCTAGCCACATTTAACTCTTTCACTAACTCTTCATTATTCACATCATGCATATGAGGACACTGAGGTTTAAAGAGTTTAAAGCCAAGGTCACAGAACTAGGAAGTAACAGAGTTGCGATCTAATAGGCAATCTCATTTAAAAAGCCACCCTCTGCCCTGGCTGGCATAGCTCAGTGGATTGAGCTCGGGCTGCGAACCAAAGTGTTGCAGGTTCGATTCCCAGCCAGAGTACATGCCTGGGTTGCACGCCATGACCCCCAGCAACCGCACATTGATGTTTCTCTCTCTCTCTTTCTCCCTCCCTTCCCTCTCTAAAAATAAATAAAATCTTTAAAAAAAAAAGCCACCCTCTGAAGCACTAAACTGCCTCTAGAAGCTATTAAGAAATTTATCTACAATTGAGACTTTGCTGACCTTTCTTCATTTATATATTATATGTTTTGCCTTCTCATTAGTTATTCCTTCAAAAATTATTTTCCTTATTTAGATAATTAATTTCATTAACATTTGGTCTTTCTCCCTTCCTGATTCTTTATTGATTTTATTTTCACCAAGTTAGATTATAAAAGTTTTTAAACTATTAATATTAATGCCTTATCTGGCACATGCTTAATTTTCCCCATCTACAACCTTTTTGTCTTTATTATTTTTGTCTTCTAAAAATTTTTTTGAGAAAAATCTATCAATAACTTCCATTATGGTTTCTATGTTTCTAGGTACAGAAAGGCCTCTCCTCCCTAATGTGAATTTATTTGTAATTTCTTCTCATTTTATCTGATTTCCGTTTTTTACATTTAAATCCAACTAGAATTTATTTTAGAGAATGGTATAAAATAGGATCTTCCTCTATATTTTCCTCTAATTGTTTTTCAATTATGTTCATCTTTTTCTTTTCTTTTCTTTCTCTCCTCCCCTCCCCTCCCCTCCCCTCCCCTTTTTCAAATTGTAAGAGAAACATTATTTAGAAAGTTACCAAGGAGCTACAAGTGAGCCAGCTGGGCTGTGTGGACTCGGGAAAGAAGTCATAGGACGAAAGAAGGGCCGCGGGGCTCAGGAGCGAGAAGCTGCGGCAATGCGCCGGAGGGGAGAGAAGAGAGGGAAGGGAAAGGAGTGGGTGTGCTCCCTGAGAGGGAGAGCCACCTGTTCATTTTTTTTACTAATACTAATTATTTCCTAATTTGAAATACTACCTTTCTACTAACGCCTTTCATGTTTTGTAGTATGTTTAGGGGTCATTACGTTCCACTGAGCTGTCTAACCTGTGTTACTTTTAATCAAAATCTAATCTTTATAGGAAAATTTCAATAACCAATTATAATAAATGGTAATGTTGTTAGCTGGTTAATATTAATATTATCATTCCTTTGCACAAAGTTTAAGACATGAATCTCTAACCCTAATGCCACTAATTTCCATCATTCTCAGGAGTGCTAAAAAACTGCACTGCTTACATGCACTTCTTACCTCAGAAAGAGTGCTCATTTCGATCGCAGTTATCAAGTTATTGTTCACTTGTGCTTCTATTTCTATTAGCTTCTTATTCTGTATAAGTACAAAAAGAAAGACCCCTTTAATCAATTAAAATTTGGAGTTTATTATACCATACATTTATGAATATGAATACAATTCATTGACAAAACTTAGAACATAAATGAGATAACATTGGGCTAAAACTGAAACCACATTGACTTAGAAAGTACATAGTTCAAAGACACACACACATAGTTCATAGACACACACACACTGAATGCTTGTAAACTCTCAATCATAAATTTTCTACAAACATTTTTCTAGCTTCTAATAATAATAATAATACATATCACATGGCAAGTGTAATATGTTTGTCAGCCACAGGAATTTAACCCTCAAGTGTAATAGGTCATTTTTGCATTTTTAAATTAATTTCTACTAATTTTAGAGTTAGACCTATATGGCAAACTAGCTAATCATTGGATCTTAGTGCCTCGTCTATGGACAGAGATGGACATTGGAAGGAAAAGCAACGACTACCAACTCCATTCACTTTGGTTTGTAGCCAGTGAAATGCTGAGACTAGAGGAATATAGACACTCTGGGAACTCCCCTCCTTTCAATTCACTGGAGGAGTGAATTTTAACAAGATGGAGGAGCCCATCTTGTTAAAATGTATTAATGCACAAAACTTTGCTTATAAGCAATCAAAGGTTAATCAAGGTATTTATTATACAGGTTTGTGGAGTCACAACTACACATTTAGAATGTAGCGTTAGGACATCTATTTTATTACAGTTTGCCCATGAACATGGTACACTCTTTCAATAATTTTTCACAACTGGAGAGTTGAAAGCATTTTTTAGAACTTCTATAATAATACAGTTAAGATTTTAGTTGTAATTTAGAATTCAAACACAATGTAGTTTCCATACCAAATTATTTAGCTTTAGGCGAAGAAATGTGTTCTCAAAATTCAGTTTTTCCACTTCTTTTTGCAATAACATCTTTTCTGTTGTAATTCTTCGAGAATTCTCTTTCTCTCTACTAAGAGCCTGAGCTAGTGCCCTGTTGTTGTGCTTTAAAGATATTTTGAAAATAGAAGAATTGTCTGTAAAAAAGAATTTAATAGTTAATGTTGAACTTAGACCTTAATAAAATTTCAGATCCCTTAATAAAACTATTTTAGACAAAATGCACTTCACTTTATAAGTTTTAACTGAAGTTTGGAAAAAAGAGAAAATGACAATACAGATGGAGTTTAGAAAAAAATGTAGAGTTTGGAAGTGAAGAAATAAAAGCTAGATAGATAAGTAAAAGTCATGAGAAATGCAGAATGTTTATGAATACAGAGTTAGAAATAAGGGGACTCTTCTGTAGACACAGCACTCTAGATAATTAGATCAATCACAAAAACTACATCGCTGATAGCTGCTGCTCTGCCTTCCTTTTTGCCTTTGACTAGCAGGTAGAATGGAGAGGCTGATCCTGCAGCTCTACCTGGAGATGTTCCATAGAAATTAGGGTGGCCAATCTGAAAAATTTAAAGCCAGTTTCTGTGGCTCCAGAATTGAACAAATTAGTTAATGCTCCCAAAGTCCAGTTTTCAAAACTTTTAGTGAAAGGGAGCATACTTAATATAACTTTGGATAAATTATCTAAACCCTATGGGACACTGTACCTCCACCTCAAACCCTACCTCTTACATGTGGGCATCTATTACAATCTGAACATGGCCCCCTCTCTTTGAGAGCCCTATGTAAACGTAATTTAAATCAGAAATACTTTCCTATGGTTAGTTAAGAAATGTAATGTGAATTCCTTGGTAAATCTCACCTTAAATAATAGTGTGCTCCTTTTGTACACTTAGAGCATATTCTTATTTTCATAACTTTGATTCACATGCCACTGAATAAAAGTACAGTGTATGTAAAAGTGTTTATAAAAGTAGTAACATTTGTTAAATACTCAGGGAAAGACTAGGCAGCTAAAAAACAGGGTCCTAAAAAAGTACTTTATCTTTGGCACAGAGAAAGTAGTTTTAGACAGCCACCTCCCTCTGACATAGCAAATGGAAGAGACTAGAACCAGTTTAGGACTTCCATAAACTAAAGGATGATAACTCTCCTGCTGCAGTCCTCAGCCTCAGAATATTCCTTAGTAACAGCGGGTATGCAATGGTCCTACCAAAGACAAGGGGAAACAGCCACCATAGGGGGTGGTCTAATATACCACACGACCCTAGATACCTGGGTAGGAGCAACATTATGATTTGAAGATACTCAGGTTTGGCTATTTCACCAGGCAGTTACCCTCCGCAGCTGCTTTATCAACAGGAAAAAACTTTCCTGCTCCTGCTAAGATGGGTGTAACCACTGAGATAATTTTCAAAAGTAATAAAAATTTATCTTGGGAATTTTCCCCATTTCTTTCCTTTTCTTTTTCTTCCTTTCTTTTTTAAAATTTTTTGCCCTTTTGACATCTCAAGTCCAGAATCCATGAAGCTCCATCTTTAAAGTGCTCAGTACCCTCATAGTGAATTTTGGCTATATAAAATCACACACTCTAGCAGCCTATCTGGGCCAAACACCTCTAGATTACCCATCATCCCATTGCTACAGCATGCCAAAACAATCTACCACTTATTAGTTCTTTTCCAGGAATGTCACACTAGCATTGTCTTTGCAGTGTAGAAGGTAACTACCTGAGGCTGTACCAGGCTCACTGCTGAAAATTCAGCTGTCACCACCAAGTACAAATCATCATAACCATTCAACTAAAAGGAGCTGAAGGAAATAGGAAGGACTGAAAGGGGGGAAAATGTAAGTTCACCAAAAGTCATTTAGTCATTTTCTGTACTTGATAAAATAAAGTACCAAATACTCTATCAATTCTCCAGGGAAAAGTAAAAATGTAAGCATACCTTAAAACCAATGGCACTTACTTATTATTTTTGTTTTGATTTTGGAGGCAAGAGAAACATTCAGCTTAGCAGTCTTTGACATTCTTTTGTCTTTCACATGTTTCTTAATTCCTGAGGAAAGAAGTGATCCACTTTCCCTCACTGGGTACTCCATCACTGAAGAAAAAAAAGAAGAGAAAAGGAAGGAAGGAAGGAAGAAAGGAAGGCAGACAGGCAGGCAGTTATAGTATTGATTAATAAAGGAAAAAAGTATAACTGATAAGTACATTCTAAAAATAACAATCATGACAAGTCATATAATTTGTCTACACATTAGTATTTATAAAACCCTTCATATAAAATCTGAAAGTATGAATGTAATCAAAAGTGGTTTAAAGTAGAATCCAAAAAAGGTAAATGATTTTTTCCCTCATTTAAACCTGTATTATATCAACATGCCAGGATCTAGCCTAAGCTGGGGACAGGAAAGGAAAATGGTTAAGAATGCATAATCCAATGGGGGTACAGGCACTTGTTGATACAATGTACAAAGAGTAACCTTAGAGATATGCACAGAAGAGATATGTCTAACCATATTTCGGGAGTGAGGTTGGAGGAGTACGCAGGAAATCTTAAATTCCTCTATTTGTCTATCAGAGTTATGGTTTATTTGACTTTAAAGTCTAATAGTGAAAACAAGAAGACAATCACATTATGACAAGAATAATGACTATAATACACAATGCATAGAAAGTGATTAACTCTGCCTGAGCCATAAAAAAGGATCAGAAAAGATTTTACTTAGAAAATACAACAGATGTTAAGCCATGTACTTGGACAAGACCAACCTCCCAAGCCCCCATCCCCTTCGCCAAGCTTCCTTGCCTCTATCTGCAGGGATCTAGAAGAATCCCTGTCACCTGCACTGGCCAAACCCCCAATGCTCAGCCTCTCCACCACAAACTACCTATTGAGTCCAAGGGACTAATCTCCCTCTGTCCTCTTGTCAATCACCACAGGAACCCCCAGACTCACAGGTCACTCTTACCTCCCTTACCTAATCTCCCTCCAGCTCTGAAAATCCCTCATTTGGTCCTGCAGTGGGTGAAAAATGGTCAGCCAAAGACAACAAGTCCTAATCCGTGCCATTGTAAATCTAATGTGGAAAAAAGGGTCCTTACAGATGTGATGGAGGAGCTAATGATGGGGAGATTATTCTGGATTATCTAGGTAGGCCCAAATGCCCTCAGTGGTAGGTACCCTTACAAGAAAGAGGCAGATACTGAAGTGATGTGGACAGAAGCCAAGGATTGCCAGCATCCACCAGCCGCTGAAAGAGGCAAGGAATGAATTTGCCTTTAGAGCCTCTGGAATGAATGCGGCCCTGCAGTCACTTTGATTTCAGCTCGGTGATACTGAATTTAGACTTTTGGCCTCCAGAACTGTGGAAAAATAAATTTTTGTTGTTTTAAGCCACCCCATTTGTGGTAATTTTTTCACCTCGGTCACAGGAAATGAATAGTTTCCATCTCTCACCCTTGCCCAACTCATGAAGTCCTCTGGAATTCACAATCGATCAAAACCTCGAGCCTCAATTTCCTCCCTGAGCAGTCCTCGCATCTTCTTGAACCAGCATCTCCCAGGACGATGCAGATTCTACAGTTCCTTTAGGCAGTGGCTCTTTTATCTCCCATGGCCCTCCCTCTGGAAGGATAGCACCAAGTTCATACTTGCAGACCATTTGTTCCCCATTTCCCTAAAAAAAGTCCCCAGTCTTGAATATAATGTCATTAGGCTCTATGACCCCCTTACCCCTCAGTGCTGTTGTCAACGTCAACTCTCCTGGGTCACTCCTCTTAAGAGCTGGTAACTTCTTACCCTCACTCACTATTGCTCTCCCAGGGCACTGAAGCAACCTGTAGAGGACTATCTCAAAACCCCAAATGCAATTACCTACTCACTATCGTCTGTATTCGTCCATCTGTCCTCTCTCACATTATGATGGGGGAACTCCCTGTCCTTCCATCCGAGGCCAAGCTTGCCTTACTCAGACAGATTACTCACTCCTACACTGGATCTCATGCCTTCCTGCCTCCTCAAAGGCATCACTCCAACAACTCCCTCCTCTACACCATCAATTTTTTCCTTTTCCACTGGATCATTCCCATCAACATACAGACATACTGCTACTTCCTTCATCTTAAAAAACCCTCACTTGTTCCCACTTCATCCTCAGACTACCTTTGCATTTCTCTGTAGCCCTTTACAGCAAAAACTCCTTGAAAGAACAGTCTATATTCAGTTTCCAGTTCCCTTGCAAACCTACTTCACTCTGGCTTTCACTCTGACTTCCCCACCAAAACTGCTTTCACCAAACTTTCTAGTGACCTCCACACTGCTGAATCTAATGGTCAATTCTTAGGCCTCACCCAACTTGATATATCAGCAGCATTTGATATGGTTAATTTCTTCTTCCCCCTCAAAAACTATCTTTCTTTGGCATACAGGACACCAGACTCATGGGTTTTTTCCTCCCTACCTAACTAGCTGCTCCTTTTCAGTCTCATACAAATTCTTCCAAGTTATAATAGGTTCTCTTCTTGGATTGCTTCTCTATCTACACTCACTCCTTTGGCGACTTCACAGTCATAGTTAAAATACCACCTGGCCAAAAACTCAAAAATCCTTAGTTTGGATCTCTTTCCTGAATTTCCCTGAAGTCACAGTTGTCTACTTACAACTCCACTTGGATAAGTAAACTGAGCATAGCAAACTTAAATTGTCCAAACCTGCTTCACTCAGAGCTGTCCCATTTCAGTTAATGGCAACTCCATCCTTCCAGTTGCACTGGCCAAAAATCTCGCATCCCAATCTACCTTCATAATACACTTAGAATCTGACCACTTTTTCTGTACCTCAATGCCACCAACCTAAAATAAGGCACTAATACATCTCACCTGAATTATGGCAATAGCCTCTTACCCCTTACTTTCACCTCTGCCCTCACTGCCATGTATTTATTAGACTATACAGTCTAAAATTCCTCAATGGTTCCCATTTTTCTCAGAGTAAAAAAAAAGTCTTTACAATGGTCTAAAGTCCCTCTGCCATCTCCTCTTCTTTCTATTTCTCTAATTTAAACTCCTCTTTCTCTCCCTTAGCTCATTCCTTTCAGGACACACTGGCCACCAAGACCTCACTACTTCTGGCACATGTCAGGCATTCTTCAACCTCAGGTCCTTTGTACTGGTTATTCTTTACAGAGAAACCTCTTCTTTCAGATACACAAATGGCTCATTCACTTTCCTCCTTCAAGTCTTTGTTCAAAAGTCACCTTCTCAGTGAGGCCATGCAAAATTGTAGCTCCTTCCCCCAGCATGTCAGATAGCTCTTACACTTCTCTATTTTCTCCCCATAACATTTATTTTAATTATATTTTATTGATTATGCTATTACAGTTGTTCCAATTTTTCCTCCATTCCCCCCCTCCACCCAGTACTCCCCACTCCCTCAGGCAGTCCCCACACCATTGTTCATGCCCATGGGTCATGCATATAAGTTCTTCAGCTACTCCATTTCCTACACTGTATTTTACATCCCCATGACTATTCCGTAACTACCTATTTGTACAAATAGGTAGTCCCCTTACATCTTCACCCATTTTCCCATACCCATCTCCCATCTGACAACCAATAAGAAGAAGAAGAAGAAGAAAAAATCCAAAAAACTGAGGATAATGCAAGCAGGCTCTGGGACAACTTCAAGGGTTCCAACATTTGTATCATAGGGTTGCCAGGAGGAAAAGAGAAACAGCAAGAAATTGGACATCTATTTGAAAAAATAATGAAAGAAAACTTCCTTAATCTGGTGAAGGAAATAGACATGCAAGTCTAGGAAGCACAGAGTCCCAAACAAGATGTTTGCAAAGAGGCCCACTCCAAGACACATCATAATTAAAATGCTAATGGTTAAAGATAAAGAGAGAATCTTAAAAACAGCAAGAGAAAAGCAGTTATTTACCTACAGGAGAATTCCCATAAGACCATCAGCTGATTTCTCAAAACTTTGCAGGCTAGCAGCCATTGGCAAGAAGTGTTCAAAGTCATGAAAAGCAGGTACCTACAACCTAGATCGCTCTACCTGGCAAAGATATCATTTAGAATCGAAGGGCAGATAAAGAGCTTCCCAAACAAGAAAAAACTAAAGGAGTCATCATTACCAAGCCATTATTATATGAAATGTTAAAGGGACTTATTTGAGCAAAAGAAGATAAAAACTATGAAAAATAAAATAGCAATAAATACATATAAAAAAATTGAATCTGAAAACAAACTAAGCAAACAAGACAGGGTTGTGGATAGAGAGCGTTTTGATGTTTCCCATAGCATTTAAATCACTATCTAATATACTATAAAATTTAATTATTGTCTGTCTTCCCTAACTAGAGTTTGAGTTCCCCATTTTAAGCTCCATAAGTTCTGTCCTATTTACTGGTATGTTGCCCAAGTCATAGAACAGTACCTGGAAAATAACATAAACATAGTAAATACTTGTTGAATGTATAAATAAGTTTTAAAAACAAAGACTGTCAGGTATCAAGATTAGAAAGGGTATTCCAGAAAAAGGACTGGCATGTATAAATGCATGAAAATGAAACATTTAAGAAAATACAAGTGATCTCTTGATTCTGGAATATTAATAACCTATTTGTTTCCCTTTACTGAAAAACTCCTTTATTTTTTATTATTATTATTTTTTTTATCACAAATAGGCCTTTTTATTTGTCACCATTAAATGTCTGGATTTAAACAGATTCTTGGACTGGGGGCTCATATCCACTAGGTCATTCATCTTCACAGCCTGACTCATCCCAGGAGCTTTTCCAGAACTGTTACCTTCACCATGAAGCTCCATGAGTTTTCCCAATTCAAACTTGGGCTTCTTCAGAATTCTGACTTTTCTAACAAAGACATCATGAAGTGGATAAATAGATTGGCAAGCCTTTTCTATGTCTTTCTCAGTGCTATCTGGGATCAATTTATCAACCACTTCTTTCAAGTCATTTGTCTGCACCTCTCGGATCATGCTTTCGATCATTATCTTCTGTATTTGGCAGACCTGTTGATGCTGAGCATAATAGGTCTTCCAAATCTGACTGTTGTGTTTTTTCGTAAAACCAACACAGAACAGATGAAGCAAATACCCATCAATCCATCAATAGTCTTGACATTAACATGAGCTTCAATCATGGTCTGCCATTTTTTGACCTCGGGGGCACATTTTGTCATGGGTAAGATCCATGCAATGGAAATTAGGGAGTTTTTGCCTTGAACATCCTCAGTAATTAGCTTGAATTTTCAAAATGCAACTTCATCATTCTGTAGATCAGCTAGGCTCACTTACACAGAGCCCTTCAGACCATCTGTGGCGATTTTGGTTCCTTGAGTTCTCGTGACTAGTGTTTTTCCAATATTTCTTATATTGAACATAGCTGGTACTTTTGCATCACACCAATCTTTCTTAGAAAATGGATCAACCACTTTCTTCTTTGTTCCCTTTTTGCCACCTTTTGTCAGGTGCTTATTCTTACCCACTGCCATGATGCTACTCAAAGAGGCAAAAGGGCTGCAAAACTCCTTTAAAGAGTTGTCCTTACTTGCTGTCTCCAATTCATTCCCTTCCATTCTCTTGATCTACTCCAAACAACTTTTTGCTTTCACCACTACTATATGCAAATTGATCACTAAAATAATTAAATTGCTGTGTTGCTAATCAAATACACTAGTCAATGTCCATTTCTCATTTCACTTGATCTATGTGCAGTATTTAATATCTGAACTTTCTCTCCTTGAAATACTTTCTTCAGCCGGCTTCTAAAACACCATATTCTCCTGTGTTTTCTCCTTTCTTATCAACCACTTCTTCTAAGTCTCTTCTGCTGCTTATTCTTCAGCTCTTGGAACCTCTTACTTTTAGAGTGTCCCAGAGCTCAGTCCTTGAGTCTCATCTATTTTCTATCTACATATGTTCCCTTGGGGCTATTATCCAGTATCCTTGCTTTTAAATCTAAATGCTGGTGACTTGCAAATTTACAGCCCCAGTCAACTCCAGACGTTTTAATCCAGTTGCCCACACCTCCTCTCCAACTTGGATGGCTAATATGCACCTCAAATTTAGCATGTCCTAATTCACCCCCATCCCTACCCAAAGCCACTCCACTTTGTTCTCTCCACCTCACTTAATGGCCAACTCCAACCTTCTAGTTGTTCAGGTCAGAAACCTCTTCTCTCACGTCCCCCATGTACTCTATCATCAGCCATGCTGGTCTGACTTTCACAACATTGCCACATGAACCACTTACCACGATTTCTACTGATAGGATCCTTTTAAAACTTAAGTAAATTCATTCACTCCTCTGTTAAAACCTGCCCACCCCCCTCCGCCACCCATGGCTCACTCAACAGCATCATAATCCTTGCAGTGGCCTATACAGCACACAATTTGATTCTTCTCCCTTTCCCCAATTCTCCATCAGCACCTCTCTGACCTCTACCACCTTTTCTTCTGCACACTAAGCTCCAGCCACACTGGTCACCTTGATAAGCTCCCACTGCAGAACCTTTGTATTCTTTTTTTTTTCCCTTTGTCTCACTCTTCTTTCAAATAATCACAGAATATGCTCACTTCAAGTCTTTGTTCAAATGTCACTTTCTCAGTGAGCCTTCCCAGACCAAACTATTTAAAATTGCTCACCTGACCCCATTTCACTTCTTGTTTCTTTTTCATCATTGACTTAATGTCCAACATAAAATTACACAATTTTCTTATTTAATTTATTGTATGTCTTCTACAAAAATGTAAGTTCTATAAGGCATACCACATTTTGTCACATATAATGTGCAGTTTTTTGCCCAAAATTTTTAGGGAAAAATAAGGATGTGCATTATGCAGTGGTGGTACTAATTCCCACATATAATGTGAATTATACGCATTATGCGTGGGAATTAGTACTAAAATGTGGGTGCATATTATACACAGGAGTGCATTATACAGAGCAAAAATAGGGTAGATTTTTGTTAAATTTGTTTGTTTCTGTACCCTCAATGTCTAGAAGAGTGTCTGGCACATTGCAACTACAGAATAAACATTTGTTGAAGAAATGGCTATAGATAAAAAAATTTTTTAATAGTAAAAACTGCTCAATATTGGAATCAGTCTCCTTTGAAAGTGTTGAGCAGATGTTGAGAAATAGCAAGTAAATAATGGTAAGATTGTTTTACAAGAAATTTCTCAAAGGGGAAGAAATAGAACCTGGAACCTTCCTTAGTGAAGACTCAAAAGAAACTTTAAGTAAAATCAAAGATCACCATCCATTATAAATAGTAGAACACAGGCACACACAGAAACTCTCTGCAAATTGCTGCATTTGCACACCTGAAAGGGATCCTAACATAGAGAACTCTTGTCCATTTCCAAAAAATCCAGTCAGAAAGATCAAATCTCATTTTACTATTTAGGAAACCACAGCTTAACAGTCCACCCCAATAAATTGGTTCTTAGTTCCTTAATCAATAAATGGCACTATCACTCACCCACTCAAATGCTCATGGCAGAATCACAGAGCCTTCGTTAACACTGCCCTATCAACTTCCACATTGATAACCTGACCAAGTAACACTCTAGGGGCCAAAGCCAGGCCCTTCGAGTACCATTCCAGGGTGACTTACCATACAGAGATTGAGGTATTATAGATTGTGGCTGGACTATGCTGGAGTCTCAGTTCCAACATTTCATAGCTATGTGATCTTAATATCTCCAAGTCTCGATTTCCAGACTTAGAAAATTATAGAAAATAAGGGCACCTCATTCTGGGGAATAAATGGACCGATGTATACAGTGCCTACTATTGGATCTGGGGCCCCGACAACACTCACTATCACCATCCAATTATTATTACTCAGTCGCTGCTGTTTGGCCAGCATCTCAGCTATCTCTAAGTCAGAAATACTCAGTTTCACATCCAATTTTCCTGAATTGGATCCCTCACGCACAAAAACCACTGTCCCTATTCCCTACAGAAATACTACCTGTATGTACCTCAAGACTCAGTTCTAGTTCTTGCCGGACTCCCATCACTCCTTAGCTTCAGCTAGCCTCCCCTCTAAATGAGGGCTTCAAAAGACAGGGCTCCTTTAAGAACTTAGGTTAAGCAGCCTCTAAGGTTCATTCAGCATATATTTATAATTGAGCGCTCACAACAAGCTAGATACTCTTCTACAGTCGGGCGGTAGAGCAGTCCAAGCGGCAGAAATCCCTTCCTTCAGGGAGCTGACCTTCTAACTGGCGGCTAGTCCCCTTCAGCCAGCCGGACGTTCAAATCCCAGGGACAAGAGGCAGCGACTTAGATGCAAACCAGGTACCCCTCAAACGAGGCCGGCGGAGCCGGGCCTGGGGCCACGGGTAGGAAAGCCGTGAGGCGGACAGTGGGCGTGACCGCGGGTCGCGCGGGGCTCGGCGGACCCAAGACTCAGGAGGGCAATGGCAGGAGGCTCGGCCCTGGAAAGGCAAGGATCATGCCAGACACACCAAAAGTCACAGGTCACGGACTTACCGCTTTCTCAGCGTGGGGTCACCACCACCAAGCTCCCGGAGCCCCGCGCCCTCGGCCAAAGCTCCAGTTTGAATTCCGGAGCCGTTAGCGGTTGCCACAAAAGCCAATCAGGTTCCAAGAAGGCGGCTCGGGGGAGTGCTATTACCAGGAAGTTGGAGGTGGAAAGGGCGGGACCTCAAGGAGGCCGGGGGTGGGGGCGTGGCCAGGAATGCCCCGAGGACGCAGCCTGGGGGGGAAGGGACGCCCAGCGGGTTCGTAATGGGTGGTTGCGCGGTCCTCTGATCCGCTGCTGAGAAAGGAAACGATCTTTTGAGGAAATTACCTCCGTCGACCAGATGTCTAAAAGGCTTGACAGCTACCTAAAATCAGTTGAAAAGCTTTTGTTGTTTATAACACAACTATGAGACTGCCCGCCCACATCCTTACCATTTCTTGTGTCTTTGCCCTATAATGCCAACACCGTTACTTTTCATTTAAAAGCTCTCTCCATTTTTCTTTTAACTTTGTGAGGAAGAAGCATCAATGAAGTTTCGTTCGAAATCACAGATCTCATCAATATTTAGGTGTTTTTAAAGGTATGTTTTAGCTAAATATACAAGAATGGCGTTTTCCATTAGACAAACTGCACATATGCAATATGATACATCTAATGTGTTCTGTGTAATATATGTTGCACATCTGTTATTATGTAGTTTCCTTATTTGTAAAATGGAGGTTAATAACAGCATCCAATATATTTTTATGATGGTTGCAGTCAACAGATCCCTTTGTTCAAATACATTAATATTGCTTTCTTCCTGACTCATTTTGTAGCGACAACTTCAAAAGCAAAACAAATGGAAAAAGGGAGACAGCAGTCAGAGATAGGCGAGAAGTTAAAAATTATATATATGTATATGTAGTTTATGTATGTATACCAGGCAGGACCCAAAACAACTCCGGATTATCTTTTGGAAGGCCGTCTCCTTGTAGTGCAGGCTTCTGCTGCCAGGTGAGTGTTCTAGGAACCCATCTGCATCAGTGTACCAGCTAGCCTTGTTGTGAGAGCCTGTGTTGGGCCTCAGTGAATTTTTTTTGAAGATTCTTTCAACACCTTAGCCCATTTCTTGATGGGTGATTTTTGAGCACACCTACCACATCACACTGAACATTCAGCAGTTTTTGACCAAAAATGGAATGACCCCCCCCATGCCCCACTCTCCCGTCCACCCGATCTTACCCCAAGTGCCTTTTTTTTGTTTCCCCAGATGAAAAAAGTCCTCAAAGGGAAACATTTTGCCCATGTAGAAGAGGTGAGACAAAAAACAGAAATACTAAAAGGCATCAAAACCTATGAGTTCAAAAAATGTTTTGAGCAGTGGGAAAAAAGTCCCGATAGGTGTATCACATGGAATGGAGAGAACATTGAAGGTGACATTGAACATTGTCAGGTGAAGGTGAACATTGTCCCCAGCAGAGACAAACTCGACTGCTATGCCATCAAGTTCCCCTGACTATGGAGTCAGCCATGAAGAAGACAGAAGACATCAATACTCTTGTGTTCATGATGGATGTCAAGGCCAACAAAGCACCAGAGCAACAGAGCTTGGCCAAGGTCAACGCCTTGATCAGATATGATGGAGAGAAGAAGGCATATATTGGACTGGCTCCTGACTATGATGCTTTGTATGTTGCCAACAAATTGGGATCACCTAAAATGAATCTAGCTGGCAAATTCTAACTATAAAAATTTTATGCTGTAAAAAGAAATAATTGATTATACACTGATGCAGTCAATTTTATATAGCCAGTATTTTGTTCATTTGGGGACTTCTGAGAACCACAGCTTTCTGTTTTTAGAATCCAGGAAAATAAAGCAAAACATAATCCAGAATTAGACCATTTAGTCTAATATATTGCATGATCAGTCTCCAAAGAGATCTACATAAGTTTTGTGTAAGTAGAAAAGTATTTATTTGGGGCCAGCTGCTAAAATTACAGTAATTAATACAGTAAAAACGTCAATAATAGTGACTTTGAATGTGATATACTGGTTATAGAAATGTCTGGTTATCTAGGGGTTAACTATCACTATCTCATGTTTGCCCCGCCTGACACATTAAATGCTCAATAAATGTTATATGTTTTTTTAAGTGAACCATGTCATAGCACTGCCATGTAGTGGTTATTGAAATTAGCCAGGTCACTTAATCGCTGAGCTTCTGTTTCCTCAGTTGTAAAATGGAGGTTAATATTAGCATGCAATGTATTTTTATGATGGTTCTAATCAACAGATCCCTTTGTTCAAATACATTAGTATTGCTTTCTTTTTGACTCATTTTGTAGCTACAGCTTCAAAAGCAAAACAAATAGAAAAAGAGGCAGGGGAGTTAGAGGTAGGAAAGATGTTAAAAATTTTATCAGGGCATGCATACCAACATCTCTTTTTTTAAAGTGCTGATTACCCTACCTCAGAGCAGTTCAGAGAATTTAATGAACCAAGGGATTTTTTAAACTATAAAATTTCTTGAAAATGTAAATTCTAATCATATACAACCATAAACTTAAAATGTATAATTAATTGGGCTGAATTTAACCTGATCTCATGTTGCTTTCAGGTCATTTGCCTCTTGATCTAATGGATAGAGACAGGAGCTTTGCACTAAGAGTGTGAAGGTGCAGTTAGTTGTGTCTTGAATACACATTATCTATTGTTTTTGTTTGAAGCTCCTTATCCATAATAAACCAGTCAAATTAAATGAGCTCACGGTTCTGTCGTGATACTCTTCTGCAGAAGGCACTGATTTTGCTTTTATCCCTTCATTTTCTTTTATTCTTAGACTCATTAGTTTCCTGTTCCTCTGCCTAAAGGTAGATTCCAGTCAATTAAAATTTGATTATCCCGACCCACATTCCCCAAACAAATAAAGGGGTAGAGGGAAACAAAGAAGAGGAAGGCTAACTGCCAAACAACACAACAGCAAATCTTCTTTAACATCTCAGCATTACTAAAACAAGAATCACCCAAGAAAAATCATCCCTAAGTAGAAGGCAAATAAGAAGATACACTATAAATCAATACACTAATAAAACAAAGTAGAAATAGTATGCTTATTAAACCATCTGACCTGATCACCTCTATTGGTCTGGCAGGTTGATTTGCACCAAGCAACCTAGGCTGATAGAAGCAGAAAAGGACAATGGGTAGTTTAAAGCATTTCTGGAGAGGATAGAGATATGGGCTTGAAATCAAGCAGGAACAAGGGGAGCTTGGCAGCATATGAGGACCAAGGACCAAGCCACAGCCGTGTCACCAGTATAGCCTGTGTATAGAGCAAGAACACAGGCAGAGCAGACTTTTTCAACACCTTTTGGCAATCCAATATGGAGTCACTGTCAGCCATTACATTTATGTCAAATGGCAATATGTCCAAGACTGGGGTAATGGGGTGTAACGGAATGCCCTTGGAAGGGGCCCTGAACACCCCAAACCATAAGTTCAGACACTCAGATAAGAACTCCATCTGGATACTGGTATGAGTGGGACCACTGCCTGTCACAGGCCGTAAGAACTTAGAGCTCAGACTGTTCAACGCTCCAGCTTGGCTGCCTCACCAGTCATGCTCAGAGTCCAACAGGAATTTCACTCCATCAGGTGTATGCTGTCACTGCAGCTGCCTGGCTTGAGACTGACACCCAACTCTCGATCCACAGCCACACCAGTGACCAAAACTTTGTGCCGGTGGCTTGCTCTGCTGCTTCTACAAGGTCCCCCTGCCTGGGTGTAACCTATTGTAACTTTTTTGACTTATTTGGGAGGTCTCCACTAGTAAACCTGGTGTTATGGAAAGACACAAACATGCATGAGGTGACTCCTTTCGGGGATGCTCTCTTGCTCATGACAGCCTGTGATGATGCCACTGATCTTGCACAGCCAGCAGTGGCCCTACAAACTCACGTGAAGAGAAAAATGGAGCAGAGAGAGATGCAGTGACACGCTCAGGAATGTCAACAGTTACCAGAAGCTAGTAGAGGCAAGGGACAGGTTTCCCCTAGAACCTTCAGAGCCAATGGTGACAACTGACAACTTGATTCTGGACTTCTGGCCACCAGAATTGTGAGATGCTTGTAATAAGTTTCTCCTTTTGTAAGCCACTCAGCTTGTGGCAATCTGCTACAGCAGCCTCAGGAAACTAACAAGCATCTTGAAAGATGAGAACCGCAGTGTGTGAAAAGGAGCATTTTATTTTGAGAGAAGGGTGGGATAAAGACGATAACATGGAAAAAATGGCAAAATTTTCTGACAAATAGTTCAGTTCAGGTATAATGTAAATATAGAGGGCTAGGTGGGAAGGGAGGGATGGGGCAGTTATTTGGCAATGTGGACACAGTTACGTTTTTGATCAGAAAAGGGACATAATCTGGGCTATGCTGAAGATATAGATATATAGACATAAATATAGATATAGATATCTACCAGCTTGTGGAAAGTCTTCCAGACTTACTAGAATAATTTACAGACAGTCTATATAATCTCTACTCAGCTCCCAACATGGGATTGTATTTAAATATTTATATATATATATTTAGAATTTTTATTTTGAAATACATTTATTTTAATGTTATAATACTTCTTTAAAGGTTTATTTTTTATTCTCATTTGAGAGAGAGAGAGCAAGAGAGAGAGCAAGAGTGAGAGCGAGAGCGAGAGAGAGAGAGAGGGAAACATCAACATGAGAGAGAAACAGTGATCTGTTGCCTCCTACACGTACCCCAACCAGGCATGTGATCAGGAATCCCACCGGCAACTTTTCAGTGTATGGGATGATGCTCCAATCAACTGAGCCACACTGGCCAGGGCTTATTACAATATTTTTTATTTTGACAATTTCAGTCTTTATAGACTCCTTTAAACTGGAAAAGTTACATAGTCTTTTTGTCTTTCATGACCTTAATATTTTTTAAGCATATAGACCAACTATATTATAATGCCCCTCTATTTGGGGCATTGCAAATTTCTTCCTAACATTTCTTCAGCATTATATTCAGGTTTTTATTTTGGGCAAAAGTGCTAGGGAAGTGATGCTTAGTTGTTCTCAATATATCGTATCAGGAGCACATATTATTGGTTTGTACCTTTACTGATGACGTC